ACTGTAGTGTATATTTCTGTATATTTTTGGGGAAATCTAGTGTATTCATCATTTTCCTACACATTTATTCACTGGTGTGTCTAACCTGCAAGTTGCTCTTTAAGACATAAAAGAAAAATCACAAGACAAGAGTACACACCTTTTTCAAGTAAATATTTAAGATTAAGTAAACTATGTTCATTTTAAATGGAATAGGATAAAGCAGAATGTAAAATTCAACACTTAAAAGTGAAAGAAAATACAGCTTTTTGTAATCATATATAAATGTGTTGATTGTAAACATACAGTATATACAATGAGATGAGATGAAATGAACAACGATATATAAATGTATCAAGTGAGACTATCAGTAATTAAGCACCCACAAGTAGTAGTTGTGATTGATAATACAGGTGTGATTGTGCTTGTAATGCTTACCAATAGCGTGGTTGAGGGTGTATTCCTCACGGAAAAAGTCCTCTGCCAAAGGGTCTCCCACTCTCCCTGCTTCTGTGACGGCTGAGAGGAGAAAACAGATCAAAACAGGTAACAGAGTGGACAATCTATATCTCACGATCAAAAAGAGTTCAAACATATTTCTAAGGCTTCACAAAATGACATGTTTTTATTTCTGACATAATCTTTCTGTTAATAATCATTATCAAATCAGAATACTTTATTTATCCTGGGAGAAATTGAGTGAATGCGACAGTTTAGTGTGTATTAATTATAATCAAATACAAATATGTATATAGAAATAAGAAGTTAAAGTAATAATGTGCACTAAGAAGATCAAATAAAATACAAATATTTATGTAAACGTTTTTATTTATTACATTCTTTTTTGTAATCTATAATTGTGGCTTGATTTTCTCTAGGTGAAACTGGTGCTCACGTCTTTAATGTGAATGTTTGATAACACACATGAGGCCCAAACAGGGTCCTCACAGAGTGCAGTGATTGATCCTTCAATGGTTTTGCTTACCTCTGATGTCTCCCCCTGCACAGAAGGCCTTCCCCCCCGCTCCTCTGATGATCACTATGTCCGTCTCATTGTCACTTTCCCATTTCTACAAGCACAGACAGCAGTACATTGAAAGGAAGGCATCATCAAAAACAAATGTTATGTTGAAGCGACAGTTCACCCTCAAAACAGATATATTTTTCATCTGCTTTTTGTACCCTGTTACTAAAAAGAATCCACACACGTAAGAACCCTGTTAATTTCTCCACTGGGCAACTCAGAACAAAATCATCTAAATAAATTGCACAACAGGTAAAAGGAAAAATATGTTTTTGTTTTGTTTTTTGTCTTTCTTTTTGCGATGTAAGGGATGACTGTATCCTTAGAAATAATTGTATGTGTGTCTTCTGGTATCACATGACATCAAACTTCTCTGTTTTTCAGGAAGTTAAAGTTAGCACATTCCTAAACGGCTACATTATTGTATTATATGTGTTTTCAGTACTTCATTTATCATATTCACAACAGTTACAGAGAAACAATGAAAACCTGAAGCCTCTCCCTCGAACAATGGTAAACAGATATGGTTTAAAATAAAAAAAAACATACAGTACATACAATGTATATCAGAGTGATGGCCAATGATTAAACTGAATAGTTTAGTATAAGAAATTTACTTTTATATTTATATATATTCAGAAGTGTTTTAAAACACTGTGTAAAAGTATATAAATGTATTATCTTAAAGTGTATAAAAGGTGTATATATATAAATAAATAAATATTTGTTGTTGAGTATTTTGTTAGCAAGTCCTTTACAGGTTTTTGAGAAAACTGTCAGACTCTCAACAAAATCAAAACTAAGTGAGATACTGGAAGCCATGTATAACCAGTCACATGCTGCTGTAACAAATGGCATGTACCACAGCTGAGGCCTTGACCTTTAACTCAGAAGAAGTTAGCATTAACCGAGCGTCCCCTACCTTGAGCTGAGGGTAGATATGTTGGACCATGGGCATGTTCAGGGCATTCAGGGCCTCGGGTCTGTTTAAGGTGATCACACCTGCACAACCCACTTTCTCCAGAAGAACCCCGGAGTCCACCTGACTCGACATCTGATCCGAAACAGAGACGGAGCAATAGTGTAAATGCCTTTATAGAACACTTGAATCAACTCAGAAATAGCTCTACAGCTGATGTATATAGTTAGCCAAGGATAAGAACTTTGACAGACCGTAGAGAAAACTGATCGAAACTGAATTCCACTGATGACAAAGAATCACTTAAATAAATACATTAATAATCAAATAAATTTACATAGTTTGATGTGAAGGCATCATTTGAGGGGCATACATTGGTAGGTCTGAAATGTAATATTCTATAATATATTGATGTATTGTTTGGTCTATACAATATGGGTGGCTTTGGTTAATTTAGCATTTTTTCCAATCACCAATAAAAGGATATACAAAAGTAGGCCTTCATCTTTTCTATAATACAATGTGGCAAGAGGCAAATCTGAGGTCACAAATATTTCTATATGAATCTATTTTTTCTTCAGAGTATGACTTGACAATCCTTCAAATGATATGCATGATGAGAGCTAAAGTCACACATTCAATTGCACGCTAACTGTACATTAGCATAAATAAACATTAGCCACAAAACAACCTTCAGGATACATAGACTGATCCAGAAAGGTAGGTCATGAGGGGCTTCTCACCATGTGGCCCTGGATTCTCTGCAGTCTGCACAGGGTCCTCAGTCTGAAGGACACAATCATTCATAAACACACTGGACATATAGCATCTGAAAACATGTGGTTCTTCAGCAGAGGTGGGTGAAGTGCTCAGATCTTATAGTTAAGTCAAAGTAGAAGTACTCAGACCTTATAGCTAAGTCAAAGTAGAAGTACTCAGATCTTATAGTTAAGTCAAAGTAGAAGTACCAGAGTGTAGGAATACTCTGTTACAGTAAAAGTCCTGCATTCAAGATGTTACTCAAGTAAAAGTATAAAGTATTATCATCAAAATATAGTTAAAGTATTGACAGTAAAAGTAGTCATTGTGCAGATTGGTCCATTTCAGAATAATATATGATATGTTTTATAATGATTGATCATGAAAGTGTTCTCAAAGCTGGTAAAGGTGCAGCTAGTTTGAATGACTTTGTATACTGCAGGGTAGCTTGTGAATTTACTCCAGGTGGAACTCTGATTTAACACTTGATTATATTTCTCATCATTCATCCAGATCTGTAAAGTAACTAAAGGCATGAAGTACATTTAGTGTAAAAGTACACTATTTACCCCTGAATTGTAGTAGAGTAGAAGTACAAAGTAGCATAAAATGGAACTACTCAAGTAAAGTACAAGTATCTCAAAATTGTGCTTAGGTACAGTACTTGAGTAAATGTGTTACTTCCCAGTTCTGTTCTTCAGACTCAGAATCAATCAAATG